AGCCATCAGACATGGGTGCTGGGAATGGAGCTTGTATCCTCTGGAAGAATAGCCTGTGCTCTTAACCTTCCCGCCATCTCTCCAGCCCCTAAGACATTTTCTTTTACTAAAATAACCTTTTAAAGTTAAGTAATAAATCTTTCTCTGAGGCTCTCTATTCTAAGGACCACCCTTGCTTGCTGCTCAAGTATAAAAAGCCCCCTGGAAGAGGAAAGATGAGCTATTGATGGCTGTGAGCTGACTGTCACCGTTTGGCCCTACTTGGCTAGGAATTGTGCATAGGCAGGCGGAAGCTCATCCAGAACTAGCAACCCCAGCCCTTGGGTGCCCAGGGCTTAGAACCTATTGCTCCAGGCATTAGAAGCCAGAACCTAGGGCTGCAAACCCTCAGGCCAGAGCTTTGCTGCTCTGCACTTTAACCCCTGACATTTAGCAGCTTCCATAAGCCTCTGCTTCCTGATGCAGCTGCCAGTGCTTCGACAGGGTCTCTCTGTGTAGCCCTGGCTGTCCTAGAACCTGCTCTGTAGACCAGGCTGGCCTCACACTCACAGAGATCTGCCTGCCTCTGTCTCCCGAGTGCTGGGATTAAAGGCGAGCACCACCAAGAGTTGGTGCTGCGGCTCTTGAAGCAGCCTTGTGTGTAGGAACCTGGGTTTTATGGGAGCAGAGTTGCAGCTCTGGCGGCTGAGTGTTGGGACTCCCTTGTCACCGACAGCAGCTAGTATTTATAACCCCTGGGCCTCAGTACCAGGACCCTCAATCCTTCCAGCTCCTCAGCTCCTTTGAACGCTCATGGTGACCAGGGCCCCCCGTTTCTCTTCTGTGGCTCCCCACAGTCTCTTTCTCCAGCCTTGTTCTCTTCTTCCAAGGCCACTCATTCCTAGTTGCTGTGGAAGTGGCCATTGCCACCCCTACTGCTGCTGCTGCCAGGAGGGCATCTCCTCACCGACCCAAGAATTGAGTCGGAAGTTGGATGTGGTGACACAAAATAGCTTACTCGGCTGCTTGTTGGCAGTCCTTCAGTGAAGATAAGGGGACACCAGAGAAGGACCCGACAGCTGTCATGTAGGGGGTCAAGTCACCCCAATATCTTAGCATATTTAAAGGGAAAATAAGGTCTACCATTAATCCCAACTGGGTTTTTTCTTTCTTTCCTTCTTTCTTTCTTTCTTTCTTTCTTTCTTTCTTTCTTTTTAAGTCACATTTTCCCAACTGTTTCTTTTTGTGCATGTGGTGGTCAAAGGATCAGTGAGTTCTCCGGCTTGGTGGCAAATGCCTTTACCCCTGAGTCATCTGGATGGCCCTCTAGAGCTCTTTAATGGTGTTTAAATTGCCTTAAGGATGCTTAGCTTCTACTCTAGTGCCCCAGGCACAGGTGGGTCCCTAATCTGTCCTAACCTTTCTTTGCTCTGAACTTGTCTCTACTAAATCGTGAATGGAGTGAAGAGGGCAATGTCCATACCATAGCCTGTGAAAAGTGCGGACTGTCTTACGGGAGTCTAAGGGTGAGTGGAATTGACCCCTGAGTGTCAGCCAGCTCCTTCTGGTTACACATGACACAGTTTAGTGTGAGTCAGGTGTGGGTTATGTCAAGAAGGACACTGAGGGAATAAACACCTCTAAAGGTTTTCTGCTTCTATGTGGTCTATAGTGAGTTCCAGGCCAGCCAGACCATATAGTGAGAACGTGTGTGTGTTTGTGTGTGTGTGTGTGTGTGTGTGTGAGAGAGAGAGAGAGAGAGAGAGAGAGAGAGAGAGAGAGAGCATTTTGCCTGCATGTATACAGCCTGTGGAGGCCAGAAGAGGGCATTGGATCCCCTGGAATTGAAGTTACATCCAGCACGTGGGTGATGGGAACTGAACCAGGGTCTTCTGAAGAGTAGCCAGTGCTCTAACTATTGGGACATCTCTCCAGTTCATTTGTTGACCTTAACATCCTGTCTAAGGTGTTTTGAGAACAACACAAATTACCTCTCAGACATTTGGGCTTTATCTTGACTCTCAGCTGGAAGTGGCAAACTAGATCCCAGTATATGGGGCCTCATTCCTTCCCCCAGGGCCCCTCATTTCCCTGTCTTTATTTTTTAAATTTTGTTTTATGCACAGGGGTGTATCGTATTCGTACGGGTGCTATGTGGCAGGCATGTCTGTGTGCTAACTTGTGTGGCCCCCAGAGTCCAGAAGAGTCTTTGTTTCCTCTCATGCATCCTGCCATATCTTGTAGAATAAGGATCCTATTGTTGTCCCACTCTTTCACCATAAGACACTCAACCCTGGGAAGGGAACAGTCACCAGGACCCTTCTGAAGGGCTGGCATCGGCCTGTGCCTGTCCCAGACTCAGGTGAAGCAGCTTGGCTGGGACTACTGGCTCACTCAGGCAGCTTGGAAGCATCTCTCAGGGCAACTGTTCTGTAGCACAGTGTCTGGACCACACTGTGTCTGGACCACACTTTCTCCATTTCATGATTGCCTCCCATCACTCTCTGGTGATGGGACCTGAACTGTGTCCTTACATACATATGAGAGCCCTTTGCAAACAGACATTACAATTTTCCCCAAAGGGCCCCCCATAGGCAATGTGCAAAGGATTCCCTGAACCACAGGAGGTGGGGACAAAAGCTGTCAAAAGTTGCTCTGTAGAAGAGAGGGCTAATGGCCAGACATCATTAAGTAGGTTGCTACCTGTCTCTGAGCTTTATTTCAGTGAGAGATGGCAATAGCAACCATGGCTGCCGTGAAGTTTCCTCAAGGTGTCCGTGGAGGGCTGCCAGGAAGCAAGGGACTGCCTGGCTGACAGTGAGAGAGGCAGCTCGGGGTGCCAAAGCTGCCAGCTGCCAGCTCTCCCAGAAATTCAACACAGTTTGCCGAACACTCAGCACCGTTCTAGAGTTGGGCGAGCGAGAAAGTACATGCCTGAAACCCCAGCACATGGAAACTGGAGACCCATAACTACATAGGGAGTTAGAGGCCCACCTGGACTTCCTGAGATACTCTTTCAAAACAACAAAATCACCCAACACTTAGAACTAGTGATTTTTTTTTTCCTATTGATTTGTCTCTGGACTAGGGTGCCACTTTGTGCCCGTCTTGGAGGTCAGAGGATCACTTTTGGGAGTTAGTTCTCTATTTCCTCCCTGTGGCCTCTCGGGGTCACCAAATCTGATGGTAAGTGCCAAGCCATCTGACAGCCCAGAACCAATAATCCTAACTGTAGTAAACTTGCTCAATTGGGCTCAACCCTGCTCGGTCCCCAGGTAATCGTCTCTCCTAAATTGTTTATTGAATACTCTTTCGGTCCTGTTGTGTTTTCTCACAACAGTGTTTTGTTGTTTTTTTGTTTTTTTGGGTTTTTTTTGGTGTGTGTGTGGGGGGGGGTTGTTTTACTGTGCTGCTCTGGGATCAAAGGTGTGTACCTCCGGGTCTGGTTGTCCCATTGTTTTTCCTCCCTTCCTCCCTCCCTTCCTCCCTCCCTTCCTTCCTTCCTTTCTCTTTCTTTCTTTCTTTCTTTCTTTCTTTCTTTCTTTCTTTTTTTGGGTTTAAGAATCAGGGTTTCTCTGTGTAGCTTTTGGAACCTGTCCTGGAACTCGCTCTGTAGACCAGGCTGGTCTCGAACTCACAGAGTTCCACCTGTCTCTGCCTCCCACATGCTGGGACTAAAAGCGTGCACCGCTACCGTCTAGCTCTATTGTTTTTCTATGGCACCTCTCTGCCTGGCTTTTTATTCCACAGCCACTTGTTTGAAATGAGCATCATATCCTAGTAATCTTTTCCAGGTGACTAAGTCTTTCCCACCGTTGTTTTCCTATGTCTCCAACGCTGCGTCTGACTCCGGCCTTCACAGTCGATGTTGGGGGGTCAGCTGCTAATTTCTGCCTACATGGCAAGACCAGTTTCCAGGTTCCCCCTTTTCCTCTCTGCTCTCCTTTTCCTCCTCTCTGTTTCCGGTCTCCTGACTCTGCTGTGACTAGCCCCAAGGGCAGGTGTCCTGGAGGTTTTATTTGGCAACTGGGACTCCTGACCTGGGATGACCCTTGGGAATGATTCAGGGAACTGGAGGCCAGGGGAAATGAAGCCCAGGTGTGGCTGAATTGTCCAGTGGAATTCATAGTCCTCCCCAGGCCTCGGTCCCAGGCAAAGTTAGTAAGGAGTTATTTGTAATTTTCTTTTCTGAAGCTAGGTAAAAGAGAAATGGGGAGAGGCAGATCCTAGCTCCTGATTTGTTTGTTTGTTTATTTTGAGGTAGGGTCTCCTATATCCTAGGTTGGTCTCCAATTTACTTGGTAACCAAAGATGACCTTGAACTTCTGACCCTCTTGTTTCCACTTCTTTGGGGCTGGGATGGCTTTGTGTGGGGCTGGGAATTGAACTCAGGTTGTTAGGGCTTTCACTGCAAGCACCTTGCCTTGCTGAGCCATCTTACCAGCCCCAGTCTGTCTTTTGATTGCTTTTTTAAAAGATTCATTTATTGTGTGTTTGCTTGTTTGCTTGCTTTCGTGCATTGCCTTTGCCTTTGGAAGGAAGCCAGAAGCCCCTGAAACCTGAGTTTTAGACAGCTGTGAGCTGCCACATGGGTGCTTGGAATGGAACCCAGGTTCCCTGGAAGAGCAGGCAATGCTCTTTAACTACTGGCCCGTCTCTCCAGCCCCCCCCCAGCCCCCCACCCCCCCTTTTTTTTTCCTTTTCTGTTTTGAGACAGAGTCTCACTGTGTTTCTCCTGCTATCCTGGAAGCTTCTATAGCCCAGCTGGCTTCAGACTCCCAGAGATCTTCCCACCTCTGTCTCCTGTGAGTTAAAGGGATGTACCTGGCCCCAGTGTACATTCTAAGGTGTTTTCGTCAATATTGAGTCTCTCATTGCTCTGTCTTGGAAGCTGCTGGGCTAACTGCTCGGGCTTGTTGGCAAAGTGTCCATCTCTGCGTGTGTTAATTCCTGCAGCTTTAGGCTGGGCATTCAGGAGGCACTTTAACAGCCTCTAATCACATTTAAATCACTTTCTCCAGGATCACGTGGAAGGCCTGGGAGCAGTGACTGGAACTGATTGAGAGAACTGAGGAAGACTGTTGCCCTCCTTCCAACCTGGAGGATGAATCTGAGGAAGCTCTGATCCCGAGGGTCGTGCCAACAGTCCCTGGGAGTCTCTGGATGTCATGTGTGATGGGGACCTTTCCTCCCTCAGAAACTACATGCTGGCCAAGGAAACCAGGTTGCCCCCAGGGCGCTGTGTGGCTGGGTTCTAATAGCCCGGTGTGTAAATTGATCAATGTCGAAAATCCTCTTTGACCTAGTCAGTGATTGCTTCCAGAGGCAGAACGCAAGAGCTGCCCTAGCTGGATGCCTCTCTGATGCTCTGAGTATTTCTCAGTGGCACAGAGCTCTGGGCAGGACCCTGAATAGGCGGTGGGCCCTCCTCTGCAACATGTGAAGGCTTATCTTATCCATGGGAAACACATGCAAGGATCCTCAAGTGTAAATGAAAATACCTGAAAAGAAGCTGTGTCTGGCTGTCAACACAAGGCTCCTGGAAAGAATATCATCCTTTTTTCTTTTAATAAAAAAATTGTATTTACTTAGAAACATTCAGAATGTCAACAAAACAGCTGCAATTTTTTTTTGCAATTACAGAGTGGGATTCAGTTAACAAGACAATGATCTTTGTATAAGTTGCATCAGAGACAACTGAAGATGAAAAAAAAAAAACCAAAAAACAAAAAGCTGCTGTCCCCAAATATGACTAACCAACAAGAACCTGCTTTAAATTTTCATGCCAATTTACAACCCCCAGACTGTGCCAGGCAAGGTTGGTGGCTACTGAAAATACCACCAGGACAGGGCTACCTAAAGACATATTCAGTAGTGTGTTAACTATACAAAAAAAGACACTGTACAGTTTAAAAACAAATCTTACACAGCCTTATATTTCAATTTTTTTCTTTAAAAAGGAGTGAGTTGTGTACAGGGGGGTTAAATGCTCTATAGACAAAAAAAGTTTCGCTAAAACCAACTTTTCGTACTTCTTCAGCTTGGCAGCCATCTTTTCACAGGGCTGCTTGTCCTCTGCAGCAGTGTCGTTCAGCGTTCTCCCAGTTTCTTTGCGACATCACCAATGGACAAGCCAGGGCATTCGCCTTTGATTTTTTGGGCGGCACTCAGAGCAGAACAAGAAGGCTGACGGAGGCCTCTTGGGTGCATTGGGGTCCTTGAACTTCTTTTGGTCTCCCCTTTGGGGGGGGATGTAGGTTTTCTTTTGGGGGGTGGGGTTTTAAGTCGGGGTTTCTCTGTGGCTTTGGAGGCTGTCCTGGAACTCGATCTGTAGACCAAGCTGGTCTCGAACTCACAGAGATCCGCCTGCCTCTGCCTCCCGAGTGCTGGGACTAAAGGCGTGCGGCAACACCACTCAGCTGGGACGTAGGTTTTCATTTCTGTTTCATAATGGGCCTTGTCAGCCTTTGCCATGTCTTCAAACTTCCCCTTTTCTTTAGCAGACATGGTTTTCCACCTTTCTGAGCACTTCTTCGAGAACTCTGAGAAGTTGACAGAAGCATCCGGGTGCTGCTTCTTGTGTTCCTCCTGGCAGGTTTGCACAAAGAACGCATGTGAGGATTTTTGCCTCTCAGCTTCTTAGGATCTCCTTTGCCCATGTTTAGTTGATTTTTGTGGCAGGCACAGAGTCGCCCATCGCCCGTCCTGCTCGCCCTTGCCCAGGCGCTGTCTCTATGGAGCTCAATGTACCACAATGGCTGTGAGAGCAGGAGCCAGACTGGAAGGAATTGCTGTGTCTGCAGAGACTGGTGGACCAATTGGAATTTCAGTACTGTAGAGAGGTCGAATTTTGTAGGTTCAGAATCTAATTACTTTATTTGGGCTAGTTTTAGCCTCCTGGAACAGCCATACCTTGTCCACTCTTTAACACCTGGCGATAACAAATAAAAACTTCTTAGAAGCTATTGACACAGCTGATCATCGGCTTCAGCAATCCAAGAGCGCTCCCTGTCTCCATGTATCTGCCTCTTTGGTGAACCCATCAACATATTTTAAACTTGTCTTGATTTATGACTTTCTTTGTGAATGAAAAAAAAAGGGGGGAAAGAAATTAAAAAGACACGACTCTACTTAGGTAAGGTGGAGGAGAAAGTGTGTTGCAGATAAAAGGGAGAGCATAGCCAGAGGCACATATCTGGGGGAACTCAGAGTGGACATGACCCTGACCCAAGCCTTGTGAGGAGAGGGAAGGAGCCAGGAGAGAAAAGGGTGGACAAGAAGGCCAGGTAACCAAATGGCTGGGTTAGAGAAGAGCCTCTGGGGGAAGGGTGGCCCAGCCCCTGGGATGGAGATTTCTGGGTAGAGGGTGAGGGTGTGCTAGCCATACCCTGTAACAGGTAGGGACTGAGGGATGCTGGGAGAACCTGGCAGCCAGGTCTGCTTTGATATGTTTAAATAAGCCTCAGTCATTTGTCCCAGGTTTGAGACCTAGCACTGTTCTGTAAAACTATAAAAAACGCCATAACATGGAATTTGGGGTGACAAAAATATGTGTTTCTGGGCAATGACCACGAATAATGGCTCCAGAATAAACTCTCTTTTCTTGTCGATGCAAGAGATGCCTGAAACCCAGACAGTAACAGTTCAGTCTGTATGATGGTGCATGTTTGCCTGTCTCAGGCATGTCTACCTATGATAACTAATTGTGTGTGTGTGTGTGTTGAGTATAGGTGTTTGGGGGAGGCCAGAGGTGTTGGGTCACTTAAAACTGGAGTTACAGGGTTATGGGCTGCTCATTGTGGGTGCTGGGAACCAAACTCGGGTCCTCTGCGAGAGCAGCATGTGCTTCTAACTGCTGAACAATCTCTCCAGCCCCCAAGTTTTTTGTTTGTTAAAGAAAGGCTTTCATGTTGCCCTGGCTGGCCTTGAACTCCTCATCCTTCTGTCTCAATCTCTCAAGTTTTGGGGTTACAGGAATGTGTCATCATGCCTATCTTAATTGATGAGTTAGCTACCGCAAGAGATTAACAACAGCTGATGACAGAACAGTTAGAACGCTGTGCAGTATAGGGAGACTTCAGAACTATGGATTGTTTGTTTCTGGAATTTTCCACTTAGTACTTTCTATCCCGGGCTGACCCAGAGTATTTGAAAACGCGGAGATATGGGGCAGCTAATGTCCAGAGGGCGAGCAAGGCCTGGCTCCCTTGGCAGGGCACGGCCTCTTGGTGTGGGCAGTCTTCTCAAAGTTACTTTAGACAACCCGCATGGCCAGGCTGTCTCCTGCGCCCGCCTGTTCAGTTTGTTCCAGAGGCCGGTTCTTCCTGGAACTGGGTGTCAGTTCAGGACAGAGAATGCTGGGAGTGAAACTTGGCCCCAAAGGGAAGAAAAGCTTTCCAATTGTGCATGAGATCGCAGATTGCTGAGCTGCGTTGGGCGGGGCTTGCAGTTCCTGCGGAATGCCACCAGGAGACGCGCTTTCCACGCCTCACACCGAGAGGTCACGCTCGCTCCTACGTGTGTATGTTGCAAATGGCTTTTCTAGGATTACAGTATAAAGTCGTGATTCAGCTTTTCCAAATGATGTATTCAACTCGAGTTACAAGCGGCTCTAGTTATGTAACGTGACCACCCTTGACAATGGGCTGGGGGAAAGGAGTGGTAACTAGCTCTCACTCTTCAAACGACCTTGGGTCTTCGCATTTGCTGTCAGGGTCACAGGAGGCCCAGCAGAGGGAGAAGAGGTGTGTGGAAGCTGAATCATAAGCTCCAGCTTCTGGATGAACTCTGCCACTCTCCAGAAGGTACCATCAGTGGCATTAATTAAGAGCTCCAGGGCCAGCAGGGAACTGGGGACACACGACTTTAATCCAAGCATTTGGATTAAAGGAGGCAGAGGCAGGCGCGATCCTTTGAGATCGAGGCCACCCTGGTGTACAGACTGAGTTCCAGGACAGGCTCCAAAGCTACACAAAGAAACCCTGTCTGGAAACCAAAGCAAAGCAAAAGGTTCAGGGCCATTGGCAAATTCTCCTTGCTCCTGTCAGTTGTTATAGACTAGTGTTGTTTGACTTTCTTTTGGGGCCTTCAACTCACACATAAGGACACGGAGACTTCTTATTAATTATGAAAACTTGGCATTGTCCCCAACTAGCTCTTATAAGTTAAATTCATCTGCTTATATTAATTTACGTTCTGCCACATGTATTTTTTTTTATCTCTCCTCCATTCTGTAAGTCCGACTTGGTCCGCATCTGGCTGGCATCTCTTTGTGCTTAGATTCATCTCCTTTTTCTCTCTATTCTCTCCTGCTTAGCTATTGACAATTCAACTCTTTATTAAACCAGTCAGAAGTTGAGTTGACTAGCTGGGCGGTCCCAGCACTCGGGAGGCAGAGGCAGGCGGATCTCTGAGTTCGAGACCAGCCTAGTCTATAAGAGCTAGTTCCAGGACAGCCTCCAAGGCTACAGAGAAACCCTATCTTGAGACACACACACCCCCAAAAAACCAAGTGAGACACATCTTCACAGTGTACTGGAAGATTATCCCACAGCACCCAAGGGTGGAGCTGCCGGCAGTGTGGCTCAGAGTCTGTCCGCTGACCTGCTGCCTAGCACAGGCAAGCAGAGGACATATGGGTCAGACAGTGAAGTGAGGGCTGCAGAGAGGCCATGTAAGGTGAACCGGACCCGTGGGACTGGCTAGTTTTTATTTAATGGCATAGAGAGCATTATGTAACGCTATATACACTCTGCCTCTGTATAAAGCACGGTTCACCCCAGCCAGGGTCAAAACAAGCAAGGAAAGCATTAGAAACCTTCCAGCAAGTCTGGAAAGATTTCAGGGTTATGGGGCTGAGAAATCCCCCGGATAAGGCTGAGAGAATGTTATGTTTTTTCTAGAAAAGTGCCATCCATGTTCAATACAGTGCTGCCAGCTCGTATGAGGTGGGGTGGGGCTCTAAGTTGGGAGAGAAGACAGGAGATGATGTCCTGGATCCTTTGTGGTGTCTGTGAGGAGGACAGATTGAGGTTTCCTTGATGTTCCTGGGGGGAGAGGCTGGCTGGCAGGCAGTAGATGAATGCTTATCTTGTGGCTTTTGCCAAGGGTAGACAGATATAGGTCACAGAAGGTATGGGTCTCCTCAGCAGGCTGGAGCCAGCAGGCACAGCTCATAGTTTTGGGGACATTCACAGTGGATGTGCAGTAGGATGCCTGTGACCTGGAGACCTGGGGACCAAAGGACCCCAGCATCCCTGTGTGCAGTAGGATGCCTGTGATCTGGAGACCTGGGGACCAAAGGACCCCAGCATCCCTCCTGTGTGGTGTTGGCATCCATCACCTATCCACTTTTCTTTCCTTTTGTTGAGATTTGTTTATTTTATGTGTATGAGTGTTGTGCTTGTATGTGTACCACATGTGTGCCTGGTGCCCACGGAGGTGCAAAGGTGTCGTTGGGCACTCTAGACCAGGAGTACCGATAGCTGGCTGTGAACCACCATGTGGGTACTGAGAATTAAACCAGGTCCTCAGCAAGAGCAACAAGTGCTCCTAACCTCTGAGCCGTCACTCCAGCCCTGCTACTCCCCTTTTCCTCTAAATGGCGAGAGGGCTGGAGAGATGGCTCTGCGATGAAGACCATGGCTATCTTCCAGGGGTCCTAAGCTTGGTTCCTAAACCTACATTGGGTGCTCACAACTGTTTGTGACTCCAGCTCCAGGGTATCTAACTCCTTCTGGTTTCCATGGACACCTGCACACAGGCGGCACTCCTTCACACAGACACACGTGTAAACATAAATTTAAAAAAGTCTCTTCAAGCAGAGGCATACAAGCAACAGGAAGTGGTCTGTTTCACTGGGTGTGGCTTGAGCAAATAGAGCCCTCAAAACCTACCTTTACAGTGAGTGGCACACTTCCTCCAATAAGACCACACCCCCTAATAGTGCCTCTCCCTTGGGGGGGGCATTTTCTTTCAAACCACCACAGGCATTTTCTTAATTAGTGAGTGATGGGGGAGGGTCCTGCCCATTGTGGGTGGGGCCACCCCGGGCAGGTGGTCCTGGCTTCTATAAGAGAACAGGCTGAGCCAGCCATGGAGAGCAAGCCAGTAAGAAACACCCTTCCATGACCTCTGCCTCAGCTCTTGCCTTCAGGTCCTGGCCCATTTGAGTTCCTGTCCTGACTTCTTAAGACACTAACAGTGATGTGGAAGTATAAGCCAGAAAAACCCTTTCTTTCCCAAGCTACTTTGGTTCCGATGTTTCATGGCAGCAGTAGTCACCCTGACTAAGACAGTCAGTGACTGTGTGAGGCAGAAAAAAACAAAACAGAACAATAACAAAAAACCTTGAAAATTTTTAGAGATGGGGTTGCTTAACAAGGTCTCACTGTACAGTCTCCAACAACTTTCGAGTCCCAGGCTGTTCTCAAATTCTGAGTACCGGGATTACATGTCTGGCTAACTCTGAGGCAGCAGCAATAGGAGAACTGAGAAAACTTCTATAAATTAAAACCTGATTAGGTGGGGTTGGCTCTTGCCTTTAATCCCAGGATTCGGTGTGTAGAGGCAGGTGAGTTTACAACAGCCATCACACCTGGCTCTGTAAGTACAACAGCCGAGCCATCTCTGGAGCCCCTTGCTTTGTCTTGTTTGAGGCATAGTTTCAGACAGTTTGGGATGGCCTTGAACTTGGCCTCTTTCCCCTACCCTAGCCTCCATTACAGGCATGTTCTGCCATGAACATACTTAGGCCCTGTGTGTTTTAATATGCATGGAGGCCAGAAAAGGGCATCAGATCTCCTGGAACTGGATTTGTGGACGGTTGTGAGCTGTCACGTGGGCGTTGGGAACTAAACTCAGGTCCTTCGGAAGAGCAGCCTGTGCTCTCGGCTGCTGGGTCATCTCTCCAGGCCCTGTGTTTTTAAGAGTATGAGAGCAGCCAAGAGCATCACAAGCTTTCAGTGTCAAAGGCCCGTCAGACAGTAAAGGTGCCTAGCTCCAGATCAAATGCTTTTGGTTGCAGCTGGTGAGGAATATTTTAATTTTTTGGTTTTTTTTTTTTCTCCCCACCACTTTCTCCCTTTCACCCCCACATTCAGCAGAAATCAGATCACAGCAGCTTATTTGACTTCCTGTTTCAGACATGAGGCATTCTGGGGAAAGAGTCAGGAGTAGGAGTCTCTTGTGTGCTTGGCATTTCCCTTGAATGATTTTTTTTTTTTTTATACAGTCTGATTATGTAGCCCAGGCTGACCTTGACATCATCACAGTGATCTTCCTGCCTCAGTCTCCTGTGTGACGATAGACTTTTGCCACCACACTTGGCTCTTTCTTAGGGCTGGCAAAGCAGTCCCACCCTGCTCGGTAGCTGGCCTCCCCTGAGGTCTTGCTGGACCTTGAGCTGCCCTGGGCTATGGAAGAGGGGAGAGTCCAGGATCTTCCTCTCTGGCTGTCCTCAAAGACGCTGGGCTCTCTGTGTACTTCCCACCATGTGACCCTCACAAGGCACTGCAGGCTTTAGCAAACAAAAGCCCCTGTGAGGCTTCTGAGTTCTGGCCTCCTAGGCGAAGGGAGTCCAAAGTCCTTTCTCTTGGCTTGGAAGTTGTGG